AAAAAAAAAAAAAAAAAAAAAACCCGTTGCCCCAAATTTCAAAATTTTCTTGGCCGTGAAAAAAAATCCCCAAATCAATTGGGTTCTGCGGTTCTCTGGGCAAAAGTGAGTTCAATTGGGTTCTCTGGGAATCGGCAAAAAAAGGGGTAAACGAGATATGATTTGTGGGTTTTGTGGAGGTTCTCTGGGAATTGGCCAAAAAATGGGTAAAAGAGAGACCCCTTTTGATTAGAACTTAAAGGTTATAGAGAGATGTAGAGTTGTCGTCCAATAGGGAGGGAGCTGGGAGCTGCTCACTTCCACTGGAAGCAGGCCCTGCCGTTGGGTAGTTTCTTTTGATTTGTATATAGTGTTTTCTTTTCCTCTTGGCTTTCTGTTGGATGTTGAGGATAGATAGAGATTAGTCTTGTAAGTATTGTGTGCTCTATCTGTTATCTTTTGCAGGTTGGGTCTCTTTTTTCTTAGTATTTCTTTTGTCGTTCCCTTGAGTTTTTTGCTGATGCTGTGGCTCTTTTCTTGAACTTGAAGGGTCTTGTAGGGTATCTTTTTTTAACTGTAGCCATTTGGGTGTCTGGTTGTAATTTTCCAAGTGATATAAATGTTATTATTATTACCATTGGAAAAATAAAAAAAGTGTTAACTGAATTTTTTTGTTCTCTATTTTGTTTCTTACAGACTTGTGCGAAATGTTCTCGCACCTGACACTTATGGAGATCAAACTGAGGCAAAGCCGGACCGGAGATTACAAAGGGAGTGTGGGGTCACTGTCCACCTCCCACGTGATGGATTGGTGTCCCGAGGGTGCGAATGGTTTCGCCGGTGTAGACATCAGGGATCTCAACGCTCGCATTGCGAGGTTCCTTGAGGTACATGGGGTCGCGTTTGAACACGCATATGGGCCTCAGCTACCATGGAATCCTGAGCGGTTCAGAGCCTTTGAGAGGAGAAGGCGAAACACTGTAGTGAAGATTTCACCGGGCACTGGCGCAGATGAATTTGACATAGCCGTCGGCAACACCGACCATGACTCCCTGAGACGCGCGATCCGACGCTCTCCACTCCTCGCGTCTATACGGCTCAGAGTTGGCTTTGAGGATCTCGGGGAGGATGAGATGCTGCCTGCCGATGCTCCGTACGACGAAGACGATGGTGTTGTCTCCTTACACACATGTGTGCTTACGGGGTTCGGCTCGATGAACAACGTGCCATACTATGAGATGCTAAATAGTTGGGGACCAAATTGGGGTCGCCGACCCCAAGGAATTGGGCGCATATCGGTAGATGATATCCTCAGCGCGTGGGACTATGAAGTAGTCGAGCTCATCGGTTGGTGTTCCAGACTTTGTTAATTTTTACTATTTAATTTTGGTCCCTATGATTATATTTCAACGAGCTGTTAATGTCTTTTATTCTCAGACTAATCAGCTAGAAGTTGCTATCAATGTAACTCAATACTTTGTACTTACATATATTACCAATACGTAGTTTGATGCTCTTTGAATTTTTTGTTTTCCTGGTTCCCTCTGAGGCGTTATTGGCAACGCTGGAGCTACCTGCTTAAAAGGCTTTTCTCCTCGAATTATTTGAGTGTTCACTTGAATTTAGTTCTCTTATTTGTGTACATTAGCTCAATCAGCTCTTGAAAGAAGATTTTCTTTCCATTGTTTTCTTGGCTAGGTTTTTGAAGGAACTTCTGGAGTCGATAACAAGTATACAACTGTTCACTTTACTAAAGAGGAGGTAAAGTCATTTAACATTGCTCTTATGTCTACCTGAAATCAGTGTAGATGGTTTATTTTATTGAAACTGGCCGAAAAAATAAACTTTTTAATCCTGAAGTAATTTTTCGTACTGTCTTATAAAGTCTACTTATATAAGAACTATAGGACGACTTGTTTATAGGTTTTAAAAACAGCAATCTCGTTGGACATGCTTGGTCCTATCTTTTTAACTAATGATGTGATGAACTAGATCAATTGCCGGAGGCCAGAAAATCCCTCTGTTCTCTGCAGCTGGTCTTCCACACAATGAAAACCGAGAATCTTCTCGAGGTATATTATTATCTAGGAGAAATGTTGTTCAGAATTGCCACTAGCAAGGTCATCTTCAAGTATGAACGCTGATTTAATTGGTAATACACAACGAACTGAACAATTGTGTTTGCGAATGTTTCTCGTTTAGATGGGATTGATTAGGTCATGGTTGTTAATCTTTAGCTATGAGTGTGTAAGTGTTGAAAAAAAGGTGCACTTCAGTCTAGTGTGCTTTTGATTCCAGTTCGTCTATCCCCTTAAAATGATTTTTGTGTGTATATCATTCTAATCAAGCTTTTTAACTGATAATGTTTTAGATTCAACTTGTTTAGTTAGATAGTTATGTGTCTTGCTTGTATTGCAACTTCTGAAAGTTATGAGTCGTGAATCCAAGATATCTATTTATGTTATACGATGCTTGCAATGCATATTTTTTCTGAACATTTTGTATTAGGCATGCCAAATCACAAGTATTCTGTTCATAGTTTTTGTTTCTCTCTGCTGTAGTTGCGAGCTTTATCTTTCTCTTTAACTGGTAAGATTTGCAGAGTACGCATCATGCAAATAACATATAGTTCACTGTATTGCAATTTGAATCTTTATGTTTATTTATTTATTTATGATGTGGTCTTTTGGTATTCATCGACTTACCCTAATCCAATAGTTCACTTACTAGGGGATTTTTCTGGGTCTGATAGAGGCCAATGTTTAGTTCGCCACCATTTTTTCGTGATCAATTGATGCAAAAAAGTTTTATTTTACTTAAAATGTGCTCGACTTGATGTCTATATTGATAATTCATTTTCACTTGCTATGTCCAACAAATCTATTTACTAGGTGCTACAAACAATGGCAGTTTTTAATGTTATTGCCGGCTTTGGTTTTGGTCACAGGCATCTTTGAAGACAGAGAAGCAGAAAAAAAGAAAGGAAATTATAGCTTTTGCTGGAAGCAGTTGTCAAACTCTTCTACATTCAAAATTTGAAAGATATTGATTTGTCTTGTTTATTGGGGTTTTAAATCTTCCGGTTGGTTAATCCGTGCTGTGTAGACTTGTCGTTTTGGTACTTTGATACATTGTTGCTCTATCATGTGCATTTTGCTGAAGCTCGTGCAATTAATTAAGCCCATTGTTGTGGCTTTCATTATTTTTCTGCATTTTTTGTGTACTGTTTGGAGCTTCTTTACTATATAAATCCTCGTTGTGCCTTCTATTGCCATTTCTGATAGAACTTGAGATACTTCATTATACACACTTTGTAATAGAACAGCTCACCTGCCCCACGGTGGGCAGTGCCCACCACTTTTTTTAATTGAAATACGTATAAAAGTGGTGGGCACTGCCCATTGTGGGCAGGTGAGCGGGACTACACTTTGTAATGTGACTTTAATCAAGAAGTGACAGTTATGTCCTGAATTCTTTTATACAGCCTTCTTTTTGTTTATTTTGATTATTAAATGGTCTTTTTGTTTATTTTGATTATTAAATGGATCTAAGAGTGCTCTTCTGTTCTGTGTGTTCAGTGATAGATTTTCCAAACCAAGTCAATAGATTTCCCTTATTCATCAACAAAGTAATGACACAATGCTTTATATATTTTTTTTTTTTTTTAGAAAAAAGGATACTCACCATCAATAGATTTATACTTGAAATCACTTATATATGCTCAACATTACTTAGTCCATCAATCCTCATTTGGAACTGTAGAATCCAGCCGACGTTTGAGAAGCACAAACAAGAAAAATGATGACGAATGAAATTGCACGATCCATTCCTTTGACAAGTTCCTCTGGAAAAGAATATAAAAACTTGGCCGAGTATGAATTTTGGTCGACTCACTACATTAAAATTTGGCAGAGCGATTGTACTTTTTTATCTGAGTCAAGCTCGACTAGCTTAAAAAAACACCAATCCAACTTGATAAGGTCATGTTCAACTCGTTTGTAGCCCCTACTTCAGTGTCGCAAAGGGCACTAAGCAAAAGATAACATCCAACTACAAACGATGTCTTAGAGGGTACTCGATCTATTAAATCAAGCGAGCCACTCGTGAGCTC